CCCTCACCCCTCACCCCGGCTGGGACCTGTGCTTTGTCCAGCCTCCTGACTCTGCCCCTTGTTTCTACCTCGTTTCCCATGCAGAGAACTGGGAAACTCATCCCAGCTGCCAAAAGGAGGAGCCCCAGCCCACACTTCCCTGATGTTTTCATCTCATAAGATGCTTATTTAAAATATCCTTTGGAAGAGCAATTTCTTCAATGACAATCATTAGGCTTTTTTGCCTATCACCGCTGTAACCTACTTTTTATAGAGTTTAGTCATGTAGAGGGTAAAAGAAAGTTGTGCAAATACACATGTGTATGAGAGAGCAATAGACAAAGGCATCTGTCATTGAATAATTTTCCCCTTCAAAATAGGAAAGGTAGCATTGGCCCATGAAAATCCTCTTAATATAATAACAAAGAAAAGAGTGAGTCAAAAATTATTCTCTTACTTTGGGACCATGTTTTATGAGTGGGATGTTAAGATTTTAAGAAGAGCTTACTAAGAGCACCATGGGTCTCCCCAAGCACGCGTGGACCACCAGTCCATCGCAGAGGAAGAACACAATGACTGCCTTGTTCACTGTGAGCTGAATTCCCATGAACTCAGTTGCCAAAGTCTCAAATTTATTATATCGCTGTCAGTGATGATGTTGGAGCTTCTCTGGATAGAAATTCTCCACCGTTGTGGCTCTCGGAAGAAGAGTACTTGCCTGCTGTCTAGGAAAGAGATTTGTAGTTTGGAAAATTTTGCAGCATGGAAAAGTCTTTGGAATCGTGCTGTAAAAGTCAGAGTGTGGATGGAATTGACTCCCCCCCCCCTCGTTTCTCTTGTTGGGCAGCTGCCTGGCTACGGGCTTGTAAGGTTAAGTTTCTTCTATACCTCAGAGAGTGTATTACAAATCATATTATAGTTTGCTTGTCTTTTTTCAAAATTGTTATTTCAGTGTCTTAACTAGCATGAAATTCACAATTTCCTTGGCTTCGCATGATATATCAATTTGCAGGGTAATCCATTCATTTAGGAAGTATGTGCTACGTGCCAGACACTGTTAGATGATGTGGATGTAGACGTATAAATCATTGTATGTGATAGTTGTGGTTGTCAGCGTTGACACCGTCTTCTCAGAGATCCACATGGGAGGTCAGCCCAGCGTGTGGATATTCTCAGGGTGTCCCTTTTCTAATTACCTTGTCCAATCACTGTCTTCTCTTCATCAGATTTCTCCCAAGAGAGACTTTCCTGTGACCATGTTTCTTGCATCTTTACCCAACTCTATTTAAGTGCTTTTCTGAACTCTCAGCTTTTTATTTCTACCATGGGCCTTGAACTAAGAAAGCGTCTATTCCTTTAATTTACCATACGGTGATTTACATATGGGCCTTTCTGTTTATTTCTCGAGAAATCCAGTTTAAGGCCACTGGTTTATCCTACCAGTAACTCTCCCTAAAGCAGCTCTGTAGCTCTTTCTCGTGGCAGTTGTGTGGCCTGCTCTCAGGAATGCTACTTGGCCAGCCTTCTCCGCTCTTGGACCCTGTCCAGACTTAGGGAGTATTGGCTTCAGCATCTTACTTCTGGGCGTTTCTAATGGATCTCCCATCACTCTGATGTTGCCGTATGCCAGCTTTATATCCAAGCAAGATCCTTTCCCTTCTCCTGCCCTCCCCTTCCTTTCCCATCACTACCTTCTTCCCTGACTTCGGAGCATCCTCTGAACATTCGCTCAGCCTCACTCGATCCTGTAAGAACAAAGGCAGAGTCCTCCAGGAGTAGAGTCGGCTTGTTCTTTCCAGATGCTCAGAACTGGCTAAAGGAAAAGCTCGTTTTTGTCAAAAACCCAAGAGAGTAAGATTAAAAACCACACATGGGGAGATTTTTTTCTATTAAAAAGACCTTCTTTCTTTGTGTGGGTTGTCACTCCTAGGAGACAGTGACAGTGAAGAAGGAGAAGTCCTGGGGCAGAAGTGCACAGTGGCCTGTTGCAGATGCTCCCTGGGTGGTCATACCCCAGGTGGCTCTTTTGCCTTCACTGGGGGCTCGGGCACTGCCAGGGTATTGCCAGGAGGACAGTAGGAAATACTCTAACACGTATTTGGGACAAAGAAAAACTTCCTGACTAGAAGAGCTTGACATTTACTTTGAATTGACCCTCAAAAGGCTTTTTAAAAATATGTTTTAATTGATTTTTAGAGAGAGAGGAAGGCGGGGGAGAGAGAAACATCCATGTGAGAGAGGCAATATTGGTCAGTTGCCTCCTACACGCATCCCTGCCAGGGATTGAGTGCCAGCCTGGCCACGTGCCCTGACCTGGAATCGGACGGGTGACCTTTAGTGCATGGGGTGACGCTCCAACCAGAAGAGCCACACTGGCCAGGGCCTCGAAAGGCTTTCACGGAGGCCTTTCCCTTCTCTAACGGACAGTGTCCCCCACACAGGATCAGGATGGGAATGAAGACGTTTCTTCTTGACCTAGTCAGACTGATCTGTGTGTGACAAGGCAGCATGTGGCTGTCCCACCTGTGACAGCATAATCTGGATGTTCTGTGTGACACAAAGTCTACCATCCAGTGGGGTCATTGGCTGGAGTGGCTCTTGGAAGCCTCGGCACGCATTTCTGGAGGAATATGCGCTCTCAGAAAAACCGTTCAGTGTTTCAGATGTCAGTTCTGCAAACCAGGCCGGGCCTCCTTTCTGTGCCCTCTGGAGGGGGACCGTTTCCATGGTAAACAAGAGTGTGCGTGCCAGTTCATTCTCTTCAGCGCGGGAATTTTTGCCCCGTGGCCTGGTGGCCTCCAACGCTGAAGACGTTTCATTTATTTGAGTGCTGTCCTTTGAAAAGGGTGTATTCAGAAGCTACATGTTTATTGCTTTAATACAAGTCACCATAGCAAATAATTTGAAAATTTTCATTTGGTGGTGGTTGTGATCATCTAGGGGATTTTGGGATAAAGAAAAAATTACTTTAAAAGCTATCATCATTGTCATCTTCGCATTTTCACATTAGAGTAATTGTTGGGTAAATGAAATCATGGTTTGGACCAACACAATTACTCTGGAAAGGGCAAAAATATATACCCTAGAATACTGTGGTCAATGAGTAGCTATTTACAAGTCAAACCAGGATCCATGAGGTTCATTATAAGGGCAAACTTTATACAGTTTGAAAATTCTAAGTCCTAACAAGTGAGTCTCATAATTTCACAGAACATTTAATATGGCAATGATAAAAGGTGACCAAGAATTTGGACAGACCTTCGTGTCCCCAGTTAGAGGGTAGTCATGTGCTGTGTAAGGATGGATGCACTTGGGAATTGTTGCTGGATTCAAGTGCGGCTTATCCCCTTTTCTTCTTTTCTCTAGGTTTGGAAATATCCTGGGATGGAGACAGTTTTGTGGAAGTCATGGCTGCCCCCCATCTCAAGGGCAAACTCTGTGGCCTCTGTGGCAACTATAATGGACATAAGCGTGATGACTTAATTGGCGGGGATGGAAATTTCAAGTTCGATGTGGATGACTTTGCCGAGTCCTGGAGGGTGGAGTCCAATGAGTTCTGCAACAGGCCCCGGAGGAAACCAGTGCCCGAACTGTGTCAGGGGACGGTGAAGGTGAAGCTCCGAGCCCATCGAGAGTGCCAGAAACTCAAATCCTGGGAGTTCCAGACCTGCCACTCAACGGTGGACTATGCTACTTTCTACCGGTAAGTGCAGTGTTCTGGGGTATGGGGTTGGGTTAAAGACCAAGGCTGGACTTGACCTTGGCATGGAGTGTGTCAATCATCTCGGTGTACAAAACAAGGGCTCCCACAGTATGGGGTAAACGCTCCTACATCTTCCTGTTCAGCAGCTGATCTCATCTTGCTTGAGTCAGTCCCACATTAGATCCCAAGTGAGGAAATTTGAGGGAGTATTTCAGAGCAATACCCTATAGGGGATCCTGTTTTTGAGTGTATGTAGATTCATTGGAAAGCTGGTGACACCTGAGATTTCACCAGGTGTTAGCTTGACTCGAAGATCGATGAGTGCTTCCCAAGTTCTGGTCCGAACCACAGTGGTACAGGGCAGAGGTGGAAATCTCGCATCCCTCGGGCTGCCTGTGGGTGTTTGAGTGAACTTGGTTCTTCTAAGTCTGAGGAAGAGTTCGGATCTGCCTCATGGTCTAGACCCAGACAGATCTGCACGTGGAAAACAAGGCACTGACATGATGATTCCTTGGATCTTGGCCAACTATGAGGCATTGTTTCCAGAGTCAGAAGAGAGTGGAATCAGAGCTTGAGGGTGGAGGGAGGAAGGTCTCTCATTAAGAGTAGAGATTCCATAACGCTTTCTAACTCTGATGAACCCCCTTTTACGCAAAGCAACCGGTTACGAAGGAGACTTGGATTTGGCTTCTGTGTTACAAGGTCGCACTTGTGAGTTGATGAGCTTGGCCGGGTTGTACTTCTACTTACTGCACAATTCCAGGGGTTCAAGAGCTGTGACTGCCTATAACTTTAACCACCATGGGTGTGGGAGGAAATGTGAGACCAACACAGCCTGAAAGGCCTTAAGTGATTTGCCTGAGCCTCTTAAAAAGAGCAAACGCCTGTGGTCTGAAGCCACAGAGAAGTTATTTTTACTCTTTAATTGCCACCAGTTTATTTCCCCTAGTTCTCATTAAATGTGATCTTTTTTTATTTGATCTTTGGACATAAAAGATAAAGTTATATAAAGGCAGCTCAAAGTGGGGTGGAAAAGGGACTGCCCCTGTCATCACAAATCCCCGATCATGGCAGCATCTGCCAAACCATTTGGCTCCAGCACATGCGTTGAGCTCCTTCAATCCATTTTCCTGTTATAATTTGAATCCTCTGGGTTCGGCTTCTCTCTCTCCTTGTGCCACCCCCTAAATGGACCCCACCTCTTGTCTAATGAAATGGAAAGATCTTCATGTAAGACTTTGGGGTGAGGTTAGCAGCTAGACAGGCAATCGAGGTTTTATTTGGAGGCTAATGCCTATCACTTGAAGGTCTGCTGGGAAGCGGTAGAGCGTAGCAATTAAGAACTCTGTGGTCTCCCAGGGCGACAAGTCCAGCTCAGCTCTACAACTTGGAGCAATCATCTGAGCTCTTAAACCTTAGTTTTCTTGTCTGTAAAGTGGGGGTAATAACAGAAGCTACCTTGAAGAGTCGTCAGTCAGGGTCAGTGAGCTTAAGAACATCAATGCATATGCTCAGCCCACTGCCCACACATAGCAAGTGCTCTTAGTTGTTGGCTGCTGTCATTTCTTCGGTTAATTAAGTGATTAACACGTGTAAGTCCTCTTTGGAAGCTCCCCTTCCCCAGTTGCAGAGTTCGATTGGGCCCTTGTCTGTCCGAAATCGAACGGCAAGGCTATGCTTCTCCCCGGGCCCCAGAACTCTACACCTTTGGTCTTCATCCCATGTCAAAAGAATGTGTTGAAAACAAAAACTGGAGAGCAGGCCTGCAGAGATTAGTCTTTTCTTTTGCAAATTTCTATTTTTTTCCCCTTTGGTGGTTTATTTTATATTGCGATCCCTGGCCTGCAAGCAGGGATGGGATGAGCACCTTGGCAGAAGGCGTGAGAAACGACTCAACAGGAGGAGGGAGAATGGGAATGGTGAGGTGGCCAGGCAGATGCTCGCCTTCTGGCTTTGCACGTCGCCGCAGCAGCTACAGCGGCGCAGCGGGGCGCGAGGTTGTGTACCGGGCTGTGCACCCAGGTTGGGTGTTTATGGAAACTCTCTTGGGGTAATTGTGCATTGAGGTTGGAGGATGGGGTGTGGCGGGAGGTGAACTTGTATTCCGCCCCCCGGTGTGGGGACAGAGCACCCTTCCCCCGCCGGCCGCTCCTTCCTGGAAGAGGCAGGAATGTGTTGGAAACAATTCTCAAGAGGGTAGAGCTGGACAGTCCTGCCTGTCGCTCGCCCTGCTGGGGATCTCACTCCCCAGCCCATAGATGCGTCTTCATGTGTTTTCAAGTGAGGGTGGCCAGTGTCTGGGAGGTCCTGAGTCTCTTCTTTTCTCCCAAGCATACATGTGGCAAAAGAAAGACTATAAACAGGGTCATGATGGGAAGGCAGTTTCGTTCTCAGGGGTTCTCCAGCAAGGACCAAACCTTATGGGGGCTTTAAGGAAGCAATAGACAGACAGCATGTTGGGTGACACCAAGCTGGACCTCCGTCTCGCTGTGTGGCCCTGGCAGGTAGCTGTGCCTCAGATGCTTTGTCTATAGAATAGGCATGACCGTGACTACCTGGTGGGCGAGATTGCTCCCCAAGGACTGAGGTCAGTGGGCAGTGCCGCCTTGTCACATGGTAGATGGGAAGCACTGGTACCGTGTGTTGTCTTGTGTCCCTTCCTTTCTATGGAGAGTCTGGGCCCTGGCTCGGCCACTTATCTCTCTGATTTTTGATATTTTCTCCTCTGATTAGGTAGGTTCTCACTGATGAATCTGGGGAACAGTTTAAAAATGAACCATTTCTCTTTGGTGACACTGAATGAGATTGTGTAAGAGAAGATTGCATTGCCGTCCTTTAAAAAATTGTGCTGTTTCTGCTTTATAAGAATAATACGTGTTCACTGTACAACATCTAAGTAACGCTGGAGAGAATAAAGAAGAGAGAGCAGCCCCGCGGCGCCCGCACCGGCACGGCCTTGCCTGTGTGTTTTATGTCAGTGGTGGAATTTCTGAGAAGAACCCGAAAACGCAGCCACGACCACGGCTGTGAGATTTTTATGAGTCGTTACAGAACTAAACAGATCCGCCTGGATACCACGGATGGTCGTACACTTACATTGCACAGGAATTTCATTTCTTTCCTTTTCCCCCCGCCTCCAAAGGAATATCTGTAATTTCCTTTAAGGACAAAGAACAACATCTCATGACATAGAAAGTCAGCCTCCTAAGCACGACTGTGTCTGTAACATCGAGAAGGGAAGGGAGGCAGCACAGAAGATGTTTCTCTGAGGAAATGTTACCTCCTTCGGGTTTCCTCCATCGTATGACAAATTCCGTGGGGCCAGTTGTATTAGAAATAGGAGACAGCTCTTCTCATACGGTCAAGATAATTCTAATATCTGTGAATTAGACTTTACTTTTGAGGTGTCTAGGGTTTAAAATTCTTATTTTATTTGGGTCTTTTACCTAGTTCAATATATATATATATGTTAAATATATCTTTNGAATCCCCTTGTCCGAATATGTTACACCTGTCTCTTATACACATCTAGATGTGTATAAGAGACAGCCCCTGACTGGGGATGGAGCCCGCAACCCGGGCATGTGCCCTGAGCGGGAATCGAACCCCGATCGCCTGGATCCTAGGTCGATGCTCAACCACTGAGCCACACCCAGCTGGGCCCCAGTTCAATATTTTTAATCGTAAACTGTCCATTGTCTAAAAACTTGAAAAGCTTTGTAAATGAATAATGACTACATATTAGCCACACACGCCCCCTTTTTTAATCTTTTGGGAAACTTTAGTAATTGTATTATCATTTGCTGCTGTGTTATGGAGCAAATTCCAGGAGACAGAGAGTAGTGCAGTGTGGAAACATCCATGTGAAATCTTTGGAATTATGTTGGATTGCAGCGGAGGCTGTCCCGAGGGGCAGGTGTCGAGTGTGTCCGTCTCCTTCCTCAGTCCTTATTTTCACCCCTCTCCCAGCTCATGGGGCCTTCTCTCCCTGACTCTCCCATGCCGGCTGGGAGCTCCAGGCGCAATAGGCAGACCCTCACCAAGGCCCCCTTGAGATTTCAACAGCTGATATCAAATCCCCTCCCCACTGCTGGCTCAGGCCCCCCTGACCAGACCAGCGCTGGGCAGCCTGGGCCCAGAGCGAGGCCAGGAGATGGGCCAGGCTCTGTGTGACATACCAGAGAGAGAGGAGACCTCACATATTTGGGACTCGTGTATGAAACACCAAAATGGGCTTTTTCCCTAACTCAGACCCAAATCTTAGATGAAATAATTGAACATAAGTGTAACCTGCTAGCCAAGCAGGACTCTTAGGTCAGGCAGGGCAGGCCCAGATTTCACAGAAGTCCAAAGACTGAGCGTGAACTGCCANTAGGGTCCTAAGTCAAGTGAGATGTTCGTTTTAATGTGTGACATTATAGGCCTTCCTTTTTGCTGTTCCTTTGGCAAACTCGGCTTTGGGATGCGTGGCCGCTCTGGGTCTGTAATTAAGGTACACTGTCACCGGGCGGCAGTAGACACCTCAACATGCCTGCGCTTAGGAGGGTATGAGGGTGCTGGGGGTTCATTTTATCCAAGGCCCGAATCCTCTCCTGTGTAATTTTTTCATATCAAAAAGAAAGAAACCCCATTTTTAAAAAAGAAGAAACAAAGAAAACTGCCTATTTTGACAGGTAGGTTAACCTTTGAGGAGAGGTCAGGTCAACTGTACAGTTAGCCAACTCAAACATTAGAGGGGACACAGTCCATCCTCTCTTCTGACATCANAGGTCAACTGTACAGTTAGCCAACTCAAACATTAGAGGGGACACAGTCCACCCTCGCTTCCCACATCACNCTCTCCCCTCTCCCCTCTCCCCTGCACCACAATCCACCAGAGCAAAGCACTCTTCATGTGTGGGTTTGGGAAAGTGTCTGGGGACTCTTGGTCTAGGAAATGTTCCTTTCTTTCCATGCAGTTTTTACAGCTGTAAGGAATTGAAGGGATGCCAGAGGATTTG